AATACCTTCAAATAAAAAGGGGGGACACTGACAAATATAATAGAGAAATATGTGAAATCATCTTGAAAGTTCTACTTTAAAAATGCATATTATTATGTTAAGGTCCAGTGTAAGGATCATCATCTAGAGGAAAAGGATGATTAAAAAAAAAGTCACCTAAAAAAAAAGTCACCTCTAATACAGTTAATTTCCAATGGAATTATTTTAAATACTCATTACCAAAGGAATCCTGACATCATTACAAAAAATCTCCAACTGTTCTGGTGGTACTGCTAGGAGGGAAAAAATAATCTTACAAGTTGTTATTGTTGTATACTGTCAAGTCAGAAGGGACACATAGCTGGGTTTTCTAGCAGGTTTTCAGAGTTTTCACACAGGAGGAGATTGCCCATCTTTCTCCCCCGGAGCAACTGGTTGGTTTCTAAATGCATGCCTTTGGGTTGGCAGTGCAACTCCTTACCCCTAAGCCAACTGTGATTTTTTTCAGAGTGTTAGCATATTATCAAGTCTTTACATATTAAAAAGTTTTTTAAAAACCTCCAAAACACAAAAAACCAACAACCTACATACAAATGGAACACAATAAACTATTCTAAAGCCCAAGCCTTTCATATTTGTGAAAAATGCTTAGAAATTAACTGATAGAAATTTGATTCTCCAAAAATAAAGAAAGCAGAAATACAGTGGTAAAGTCTAAAATCATTATGCTCTTTTAAAATCTACTTACATGGAAGCAAATTTGCAACAGCAACATGAAAGATTAGACAAGAAACTTTGAGGGCAATGAGTTTACATTAATGAGAGAGGTACAACTCAGAAAACATAGATGAGAATGTTTGTATAACTTGAAGAATATAATCAAGCTATAAATATAGAAACTGTTTAATTGGTATGTCTTATTATAAATATTCCAAACAAAACAAAAAATAGTACAATTAAATTTAAAAAATTCATCTGGCTAGATTTTTATAAAAAGAGCACCTGCACTTCTGTAATTTTTTTAAGGCTTTGTAAGTAATTCCTTAAAACATTCTGTCCTTTATATTAAAAGACACTTGCTGTAACTTTTTAAACTCTGCAAATATCCCTCCTAGAAATTTGTCTTTAAAAAATATTTCAAAGAAAAATGTATTATACAGGTAGTTCCCAACTGAAGATGGTATTCCATTCCAATTACTGTGTTGTAAGTTGGTTCTTATATAATCTGAATTCTTTTTTCTCATTTTTTATGATTGTTATTTTTATCTTGTTTGCATACTATCATTCATACACACTGTGTTTCATCCAGATACACTGTTTTTTATAATTACTATTGATCTGTGCCTTTTATCACCTCATCTCATCAAGTCCCCTCATTTTTATTATTATTGTTTTTCATTATCAGTATCTCTGTAAATCCTAACTTTATTTCTCTTTGCATTACTTGTACTCCAGCAACAATAACAAAGTTCAACAGGGCAGCAAAAAACAAGTGTTGGCAAGGTTGTGGAGAAATTGGAAGTCTTCACTGCTGGTACCACCACTATGGAAGTCAGTCTGGCATTTTCTCAAAAACTTAGAAAGAGAAATACTATTTGACCCAGTAATTCTACCACTGTGAATACATCCTAAAGAAACAAGAGCCATGACTCAAACAGACGTAAGCATGCCCATGTTTCTGCATTATTCACAATATCAAAGAGATGGACACAACCCAACTGTCCATCAACAAATGAATAGATAGAAAAATTATGGTACATTCACACAGTGGAATATTACACAGCATTGAAAAACAATGAACTTATAAAACACTACACAATATGGGTAAGCCTAAATGACATCATGTGGAGTAAAATACTTTAGTCACAAAAACACAAATATTCCATAATACCACTGAGGTAAAACAGAATTGACATGACAGGAGAGAGGAAAAGAGTGGATAGTTAATGAACTATGCATTGGAACAGATGAGGAGAAGATCTGTCTGAAAGGAATATATGATTAGGCATTATATGTATGACAACAATCTGAAACAAGAGATTTCTTGCAAAGTGGACTAAGGAAGGGAGGAAAATGTGCAACAATCAATGAATGAAACTCAAAACTTTCATTAAAATCATAGTAATTTTTTTAAAAAAGGAAACATGTACATTTACAGATATATTTTAAGTCTGTATGTAGTATAATTAGTGGCACCCCATTCCTAAACAACATGCCTCCAGAAACACTATGAACTTTGATAAATGTTGATAGGATAGTTATAGCGGGGTTTCAGGCCTTTTGTTCACGGGGTCACTATGAGTTGTGCTCTACTCGAAGGCAATCAACAACAACAACGTAGTATAAATAGTGTAAACTTTTTGATCTTTTTTAAATCTTACTTTGTTCACAATCATTTAAGCTGATTGGTCACCTGGTTTAGTTAACAATCAGCCAGTCTTTGAATGTAAGATCCAGTTAGTGTCGACTGCTTTTGAGAAGAACATTGTTCTAAGTGGTACAGTACTTGTCTGTCAGTTTGGTAGATACTGAGATAACTTGGTGTTGCTGGGATACTGAACACTCTACCACTAGTGTGTCAAATGCCATAATAGGTACCCATGATAGACAGGGTTTGGTAGAGCTCCCAGATTAAGACAGGTCTTTACAAAAGTTACAG